CCCTGGAGGCCTCTGTAGTCACTCTGTCTCTGTAGATTCAAGCATTCTCTTTCTCACCACAAGCCAGCAGTCAAGGAGAAGGTTCAGTTTGTCACCTCCTTTTTCTGCATTGAGACCTGTCTCCTCACTCTCCCTGTGATCCTCAGTTCTTCATTCAGATTCTCCTAATTCTCAGGGATCCACATCCCTCCTTCTTTTCTTCCCCCAAGTTGTTATATTCCAGTGTCTAGATTCCAAATCTCAGAGACACTGTTTTGCTGTTGTTTACTGTTCTACTATCTTCTCAGAAGTCTGGTTCATTTTTAATTTTTAGTTCTTTCCAAAAATAATTCTAGATAGTGTCTTTCATTTTCTCGTTAGGGCTATGGTCATCTTATACAGTGCTCTGAGATATTCTCCCAGGCTATAAAATCTTAGGATTTTCATAATACAATAGTAGTTGGCATACCTACATTCATATTATCATTGATCTCAACCTACCAGATCGTCTCCTTCTCATTTTTCCTCCTAATTTGGACTTACATGTTACTCTTAAGACAAAAGACAAAAACATCAATGAAAAAATTATTCACTGCAGTAGATGGTATATTTTCATTTGAGTCAATATGAAAGGTAACTGGCATAATCTCAGAAGAGGTGGTAGAATATTTGTTACTAGGATCTTGCAAGAAATCATCATCTGAAGATACAGATTGTGATTCAAAAAGGTACTTCTGCAAACGTAATAGAAAGGGTGTAGGAGAATGGAATAACAGTTCTAAGAACAGAAATGGCATGATAAAAGTGTGGCATAATGAATCTTTCTCACTAAAGCTATTAGCATACATCAGTTAGAGCTCTAATTTAATAATACAGTTGTAATGTAGTCTAACGCAAAATAGACCACAAAGTCTATTTGGAGGATATAGTTAGAATTATAGTACACTATTTCTCCTTAAAGTCTAAGTCATTGAAATATTAACATTTATACAGAAACATACATATCTTAAAGGAGGAAAAAATAGAAGTAAAATGACATTTATTAATTTTCTTTTGTCCCATGTAATATCCCTCTTAATCCCCATGACAACTTAATGTGTAGATATTATTACTCAGATTTCATAAATAAGAAGATTTGTTAAGTATAATTTCCCAAGAACACACAATTAATAAATTTACTTTACAATTAATGTAAATAAGGGCCATATGCTGTACTCCAAAATTTCATTATATCTCTAGAAGCTGTAAAATATATGAGATGGGAAGGATGTGTGTAAAGACAGCACCAAGAGAAGATTTATTTCACTGATGCTAAAAGAGTCTGTATCATAATGAAACCACTCTAAAACAAAAAAAGGAAATGAACATATACAGAAAATGAAGTAATAATACATTTGGGCATGGAGTCTGCTTTTAATAGAAACTTCAACTTGATTTAGTTATATTTATGGTGTTTCACATTATTTTCTACAAGCAAAGTCATCCAGAAAATTAAGGGTGGCATATGTGATAAACATAAAAATTAAAATTTTGACAGAATAAAATAAATAACTTTAGTAATTACATTAAGCATGTTTTCAGTCCCATAGTAAGCTATTAAAAGTAAAACAACTGTTCAAAGCATGCTGCCAAATTTTCTCAAAATGATTTGTTTTGAAATGTTGACTAAATATCTCAGAACTGTATATCATCTTTAGTATAATTAAACATTCTTCAAATCAAAAACATACCTTTTTTTTGTATGCTGAGCCATAAATTAGATGTGACTTTTGTCTTCATATTGGACACAGAAGATGATACATTTGTTAACATTTAAAATGATTTTAAATGTTCATACTCACTTGTACTGTAAAAGGCTTCATAGTTTACATTGCTTTCATCTTTTTAATTAAAAGTTAAATTATTAGGAAAAATCTAATATTAATGTTCCTATTTTATGTTGAATGTGTTCAAAATATTTATGTATGTTTCTACATTGAATAATTGCCATTAAATAATAATAAATCCATTAAATAATAAGTATTTAATGGATGAATGAATGAGTGAAGAAGTTTAGTCCAAATTAGTTAACTTACTTTTAAAAGTCCTTCAAGAAGTACTCAAGCTGTTGTAGCCATCTTTATCTTTTGATAGTTCAGGGAGGCCTTGGCATCTACAAATGTAGAAATATGTACATATTAAGTGGTGTACTGTTACCCACTATAAAGCAAGTGACATGTCAAATATTCAACTTGTTTTTTGTCTGCAGTTATGACAATCCCAACCAGAGTTGCAATGAACATGGTGCATTGACATAAAATTTACTTTAGGCCCTGTTCACTCATTTGTGATGTACTGCCTCAGGTAATTTGTGTTATTGTTTACTCTAAAAGGTAACCAAAACCTTTCCCTATAACATTATCCTCAAGAAGAAATACATGTGTGTATTTCTAGATGCATTAGCTATTCTCTTACTTGTTCGTTGTATTCCCAATCCCCCTCCAAAGCTGTTTCATTTCTTACATTCTCACAAGTATGGAAAATAATGGCCTTACCCCAGTGGAGGAACTCTTACTTCAAAACCAAGAGAAATACTTGGCTGGATTCCTAACTTAGTCTCCAGGCAAGAACAACATTTTGCCAAAGTTCAGTTCAGAAACTTGAGATTAGTTAATTCTTTCATCTCTGTTATGGTTGGCTATTCTGCCTTGCTTTACTACCACTGTCAAAATAAAATCTTGTCAGGTATTTGTACCGTTCAGCACTGTTCATATATTTCCTAGATCTCTGCATTATTTCCTATGGGACTGGAATTTGATTGGCAAGCTGATTGTCTTTCAGTGTGAACACTCTCCAGAACTTTTCCTCCTCATTTGGAATGGTTTCTCCCTGGAAGATACTGCTTTCCTCTTAGCTTCCCCCAGGAGAAGTTGTTCCTTCTTCCAGCTGCAAGTTGCCCATCACCATGAGCTAGCCCTGAAATTCCACCTGAAACTTTTCTTTTTAGGCTCGTGCTATTTGTTATCGTTCCCTCTTCCTTTCCAGTCACTGTAATTTTACCAATCACTTTTCTTCCTTCGTGTGAAATTCTTACACTGATTCCCTGTTTTTCTCTCAGTCACAACTCTGTCATCAGGAAATTTTAATTCCCTCATGGGTGACTTATTAAAGGTCTTACCATTCTAATTCTTCCATCCTCGTAAGAAATGATGCCATATATATAATGCACAGCAACTAATTATAACATTTTAGCTTGCTCTAATCTACTTTCTGTCTCAAATCTCTTGACCCTAAAATTGTCTATTTCCTATTTAACTCAAATTGATATCTAATTTTGGTAACAAGACAATACTGTTTTTTGTCTCCAAGTACGTTAGACCGCAGCTGACTTCATTTTTCAGCCTGAAGTACATGCTACTCAGGACAGTGATATTCAAAGTGTGGTCCCCAAACGAGCAGTATCAGCATCAGCATCTTTTGGAAATATGTAAGAAATATAATTTCCTTAGGTTCCCCTACCCCAGAACTACTGAGTCAGAAACTCTAATATTGGAGCCCATCAAGCTGTGTTTTTAAAAGCCCCCTAGGTGATTCTGATACATTCTAAAATTTGAGAACATTGATATAAAGGATGAATTCAACTGCTCACTTCTCAAATTTTTTGGTATCTTTGAGTGGTAATGAACACTCAAAAATGAACATATCATTATTTTATTCTAAGATTTCTCACTGCACAAGATTTCTAAACATGTACCAAGTTCTCTAGCTTCACACAGCAAACATTTTCATGTACAACTGTCAACTACAATTCAAATGTTTTTGTAGTTCTTAGTAATCTAAGTTCAGATACCATAAAATTGCTAAATGCCCATTGTGCAGTGGTACTTCTAAAGGTGTTTTGGTTTATTACTGTCCTCTGCAGTAGATACTGAGAAATGTTTAGTTCAAGGTCACTATGTTGAGCACCCCAAGCCGAGATTTGAACTTAAAACTAGCTGAATCTAAAGTCCATGCTTTTCCTAGCTGGCAAATGAATTATATGAAACAACAGATTCATCAGTGTACCTCTTCACTCTAATTAAAATAGCACTTATGAATGAATGCTTTAAAGAATTTTTAAGTATGAGTGTTATATAAAAATCTATTATCAACTAATTTTGATAAATAGCAGCCTAATAGTTTTTATTATAATACACTGTTGAATATTTTTATTTTACAAAATGGCGGCATAGCATGATGCTGTTCAAAATTCTTTAAAGAATGAACCATTTGTTTATGGATCGCCTATGTGAACTCTTTGTAAGACCAGGTTTTTGAAAATTTAGTCAGTGTATTTTTTTCTCTTCAAGATATATGGGCTTTCTTATCTACTTTTATTTTTTTATTTCATCTGCTGTTACCCTCTTTCTTATTTTCCAGCTTTTTTCAACTAGAACAGATTTCTATCCCATTATCTCAATAAGTACTATTTTTCTCTTCCTTCAGAGATAGTCTCAGTTTCTTCTAGATTTAGAGGAGTTACATTTAGTATGTAATGTTATGTACCTGGCATCATAAACATAATCTCTATGCATGAATACATGCTACTTCATGTAAATTTTATAGCTTCATGGTGATAGTATAATTTGTATATTTAATAGCATCACAATGCAAAACATAGATACCTAGTGCTGAATAAGCTGTGTCAGGGTGTCTGGCTTTCCCACCAAAGTCCTGCTGAGAATCAAACTCAGGACTGAAATTTAGAGGAGTCTTCCCATAGCCCACAGCTGTATCCACAGCACTACCTGCAGGGGCATTTTGTCTAAATGTTATTTTAAAAACTAACAAAGACTTAAATTGAAAATGACTAAGTTGTGGACTGAGAACATCCATTTTTACACAGGTACCTGTAACTGCAGCTTCCTATAAAATCTAAGGGCAGTTTTGTTATTAATGTCAATTAGTTTTCACTAGAAATCTCCTTAACCTTCAGGAAGTTGTGTTTAATAGGTATTTCTGTGATAGCCCAGTGTATTACCTCTTTTTCTTTCATTGCGCAGGTCCTGCTGATCTTCTTCTTTGTGTCCCATGCTCTTCTTGTCCCACCCTGGTCTACTCTGGTATGTTTGCTCAGGGGACTTAATGTCAATGTCAGGTAATTATGGGTATTATCTACAACTCCTCAGTGTGCAGGCTTTCAGAATACTCTTTAGGACCTAATGAGAAAAGATTTTGCATGGAGCACCTTGCACAATGTCTTATTTTATTTTTTTGTGTGATGTGCTGTAGATCTCATGACCCTATTTATTCTATATTTCTCTATGCTGACATGGTAGAACAGGGATTTTAATCCTTTTTTCCTTGAGAGGAAACGTAACTTCTAGATACATATGAGCTGAAACATATTTCTCCACTGTGCAGACTGTAGAGTATGGTGGCATCAAATATTACCGTGGAATTATAGGATCTACAAAAAATTATACAACCTTAAACATGAAGCTACCTATGAGCTTTCTGTTTAAAGACTACAGTCATTGGCAGTGATTTTCTTTTTGTAAATCACAAAGGAGAGCAAAAGTGTTGAATTTGTCCTACATGCTCAGAGATTCATAGGATACAAAAACCGGGAAGAGTTTTAGTTATCTATTCCTCTCCTACTCCAATTAGGAGAGTTGATCTCTTCCCTTGATACCTCTACCAAAAGTTCACCCAGACTCTGTGAAACTCTTGAGTCATGGGGAGTTCACTATCTCTCTTAGGTTCCCAGACAATTTTGGTTTTTTATGGACATGCATAGATCCAATAATTTCTGCAATGCACCAGTATATAGTTATCAGAATAGTATGTTCACTGCCACATCGTTTTTAAAATAAAATATATTACTGTGAGGCATGAAAACATGGAAAGCATATAAACATAGAAACATTTAATAACCAACAGAAGAGACTGATTCAAAAATTATAACAATGTATATAATGGAAAGCAGCAATTCCATTAGGAACAATGAGATATATACATACTATATATATTCTAATACCAACTGAATAAATATATATTCAGTTATATTGGACATAGGAAGCTTTTACTCAGTACTTTGCCAAAAGCAAAATAAGATAATAAAATGAGTCACAGTGGGGGATATTAAATATAACTTTTTTAAAAATATGCAATGCACAGACACACAATCATAAATTTACATTTACAGAATGCTGTTTGGTTATAAACAAAAATGCCATCAGTGGCTATTTCTTTTGGTGTGACATTTAGTCTTTGCTCATCTGCAGGTACAGTATTTGCATGCTAAGCATATAACTCTCTTTCTAAAATATGTTTAAAATCTTTTGTTTAAAAATTATAAAAGGAATTACTCTTATTGTGCTCAAAGATATAACGCTCTGACAGTTTTCTGCTTTATGGTTCTCTCCTTTTGAGTCACAGACAATACCTACACCTCTCTTCCATGTAATGACTATACTACTGTATTGCACAACTACCATGTGGCTGGTTCACTTCTTCAGTCTTTCACTGTTCTCTGTATGAAGTAATGGACATAGTGCTCTAAATATAAGAAATATAAGAGTTCTAAATTGGTCAGTCGTTACTACTATTCATATTTAAGATGGTCCCCACTGTGGTTCTTCTCATCATGGAGATCATTACATTGTGGAGAAGGCATGTAATAAACAGTTCCTTACATAATATGCTGATAATTATTGTTACAGAGTCATTAGGCTAGGGTAAGTACAGGAAGTAAAGAATTCTACTTTGTTGAGTAATCAGAATTCCAGAGAAAGTGATATCTAAGGCTAAAAACTAAAGAACTGTAGGGCTTAGTCAAACAAACAAGTCAAGTTGATTGGGCTACCTAATACATTCCAGGTAAGGGACAAGTGTGTGATAAAAAAAAGTAGATTCCCTTTTTCCCCTCTCTCCTTTCTTTCCTTTGCTCCCTCTCTTCTACTAATATGGATTTATTGAGAAAATTATACTGTCTCAAGCCCTGTGAGAAATTTGGATATTGATAGTGTTCTTGAAAAATGTGTATGGTCTACTTGAGGAATCAGAAATATTAAATATAACATTTATTTAAAGCAGAAATAGTATATAAAATAATTTGGAAATGTGGCCATTGCCATTTTAATCTGGTTAGGATTTTAAGCAGATGCACAGAAATTGGTATACTATAAGAAAAATATGGCTAATGGAGTTGTACTCCAATGTTAATGCCATTATAAAATTTCACGCCTAGTAGAACAAAGCATTAAATTCGCACTCTTTCCATGGTGCACTCTATGTATTAAGTGCATTTTCTTTTGTTTCATTTTTCCCCCACAGGTCTGTGAAACAGGCAGAAGAAGTTGAAAGTGGTCCTTAAAGAAACTGCAATTAACTGAGTCCTTATGTATAGTCCTAAATTTATTTACTATGTGTAATTACTTAGAGAATGGTTATTTTTATAATATCAATAATAAAAGTACCACTGTAACCAGGGGATGCCTACATGTGTAATAAGAGACTAATAACCTTGGGAAAGGACTCTGGGGTGGTCAGGGGTATTTGCTGCCTTTTGACATGGTTGGTGTCCTGGGTTTGGATGACTTTGTATGGAGTTCTTAATATCAATATTTGATATATTAAAATATTGCCTGATCCAAATAACTTTGCTTAAATTTTTTTGTATTTTAACTTCTCTAGGGCTTTCTACCTCTTCTGTTTTTATAATACTTTATCATTTTTTAGACTAATGGATATTACACTTAGAAAGATGGCCCAGGGGCTGGGGATTTAGATCGGTGGCACAGCGCCTGCTAGGCAAGTGTGAGGTCTTGAGTTAGATTCCTGGTACTGGAAAAACAACAACAACAACAACAACAAAAAAAGAAAGGTGGCCCAAGGTGTGCTATTTGGGTCAGGAACTAGCTGTGTGGTATCATCACCTACCCTGTGTGTCTGCACAAGTAAGAGACATATTCCCCATGACTATGCTTCCATGACTGCCTTCCCCATCCCTGTCAAAACAAATAATTGATATGTTAAGTCAACAAAGCTGATTAATCAGGAATGAAATGTATGGCCCTAGAGCACATGCAATTAAAATTGTTTGACCATTTCTGCAATTATTAAAACTAGTTAAGATTATTCATTTTAAATTTGATGTATGCTCACTTTTGGAATATGCTATGTATTGATGCTAAGTGAATTAATCCAAGTAAATCTATTGAGTGTATCTACTGTCTGTTTTACACTAATCTTAACTGAAGATTATTTTCAGGACCCTTAAGTCATGAACAGTAAATTATAAACTGCCTATATAGCTATCAAAGAAACAAATGTTAAAGGCCAGAACACAGTTAAGTAATAAACAAAGAAATTTTGATTGTGTGAATTAAGTCATATTCCTAAATATAAATAATATATAATATTATAACATAATAAATTTTCTTATATTGCCATTTTATTGTGTATAGGAACTCATGAGACAGTTATTGTTTTCTGTAGGAAGAAATAAATGTTTACAAAATAGTAAATTTTCAACAGAAAATTGAGAAGGTAAGAGAGTAAGTTTATGGGACAAAAGTACTTTGCATTTAAAGATCTTTGCCAGAAAGAATATTTTCCTCAAAAATATTCAATTGATGATTCCATTATTTTCCCTGTTAAAAACTTTCTTTCTTTAAGGCATGTCACCCATAATGCCTGAACCGTACTTGCCTCCAAACATGTCTTGGTTGAGTTTGGTCCTCCTGTTGGTCACTGATCCTTTCCTGGAGACAGTCACCCCGCTGAGTGCCACATGGAGCTCGAGTCAGATCCACTAGGATGACAGGATGCTGCTGAAGATGTTGTCAGAGAGAAACAAAACCAGGTGTAACTGAAATCACAAAGACACTTTTAACCAGGAACTGACTATTGCAGTGGGGAAGATGGTTCACCATGAGATGAACTCCACTTCGGTGTGTGCAGGGGTAACTGTGGATCTTAAAGGGAGACTCAGGGAGAAGGAAGGGGCAGAATGGCAAGGATTTGAGAAGAATCAGGGGAGTTGAAATGTTGGTTTCTGTTGGATTTTTAAACATAGCTCCAGAGTTATTGCAATGGTAAGGCTTGAACATCCAACACAATAAAAGGCTACTTGAGAAACTTCTCAGAGTCTCCACCCAAAATCACTACATAACTTATATCATGGCATGGTCTCTGGATATCCCTAGCTGGGACTGTGGTGGATGCTAACCTTCTGGACATGGAGGCCAGATCTTTATTCTCAAGGCCATCACAAGAAACACACATTAAAAAATATTTAATATAGGTAAATGCTTAATGTGCATTAGTTTATAGGCTGGGCTGCTTATGGGAGAATCAAAGAGCAGTTGTAAACACATATGGATCTGGCCCCAAAAGGGTGTTCTGGGGGTTTGAGGAAAGTCAAAGAAGGCTGCCTAGAAGAGACGATGCTTCAGGTGGTTCCCTAAAGGTGATGTGGAGTAAACTGAGGTGTGAAGGTAGGTAGGAGGGGTGAGCTGGGAGCTACAGAATGAACCCTGTGTGGAAGTCTGTGTGGGCAGAGTGTGCACAGGAAGATGTGAAGAAAAAAGGAGAAGATGCAGGCCACGGACAGGCCTGAAAATGGGGAGCCAATTATAAGTTGGTTGCAGACTTAAGATAAAAATAAATATCTTTTAGGGTTTTTAAGGCAAAAGATGGCAAAGAGCTAACTGTGCAGGGAAATCCCAAAGCAGGGGAACAGATAGAACAAAAACTCATGTTAGGGGTGGCTCCTGTGACATTATCACACATAGAAGGAGCGGGTAAGGGAGTTAGTAAGAGTATCAAAATGATGCAGATGATGATAGTAGCAGTTAAACCTTAAAGGCTGTTGTAGGATGTGTTCTACTCACAGGGCAATGGAAACACACGGAAGAGTTCTGAGCAAATGAATAACGAGATTTTCATTTCTGGAAGATAGTTCTTGGTTTCAGTGTGGAAAATGGTCAGAATGAGACTCCTAGAGTGGAGGCAAGAAGAATGATTAGGACACTGTTATGGCTGATACATTGTGTCAACTTGGGGAGTCTACAGGTTTGGCTAAGTGACTCAGCAGGAAGCCAGGGTGCTTACTTTGTACACATCCTGAGCCTATCGAAGAGGAGGGCATGGAGATTATGTGAGAGCTACACGCCCCTTAGGTGAGGGTAGCCTGTTTACAATGTAAGGCAGGGAAAGGAAGCTTCTTGGTGCCATCCCCCCGCTTTGCTCTTGTTGCTTTGCTGTCTTTTGCCTCAGAGCCAGCCAAGTATGGACTGAAACCTCCACAGACTGTAAGCCAAATAAACCTTTCCTTCTTCATTTTGGGCGTTGGGTATTTTGTGTCAGCAACGAGAGAAAAGTAACCAAGACAGACACCTTTGCGTAATCAAAACTGGAGGTATAGAACTGCATAAACAGAGGAGGAATTTAGACGTTTAATTGATTAAAGACAGGAGGGAGGAGTGGCAGATAATGTTTAGATTTCTGGCCAGGACAGCTGGTGGTGAAACATGTTTAAAACAGCAGGCAGATGTGCAGTTCAGTTGGGAGACACAGCCACGATTCTGAGGATCAGCAACAAACAGGCAGATGATCAAAGAGCACATAATAGGAATCAAGGAAGTAGATGATACAACCTGACAAGGGTCTGCAGTGGAAAGGGGACCCGAGTCTCAGGAACACAGCAGCACTTAAGGGACTGAAAAAATTATTTAAGAGTGAAGACTTCATGGGCACTTGACGGAGTGGGTCACCCACACATTGTTTCTAGGAAGCAGAGGGTCAAAATCCTTGCACTTCAAGGTTCTTGGTTCCTGTGAGCCCAGCTAGATTTCAAGGGGGAAACAAGAAGGGGCTCACTTGTTGAATTGTCCTTAGTAGTCTGGTTTAATGAGGCTGTAGAAATTTCCCGTGGTGGATGGAATAAAAACAACCCTAAGGAGGTAGGAGGGGGATGTAAGGAACTCAGAATCCCCCTCATTTAGCCAAGTAAATAAGTAAATTTCAGATCCTTTTAGTGTGTGGTGATATTGGCCGACAGAAATCCTATTTCCTTGGTTAATTGTGAGGAAGGAACAACTAACATCTTTAGGAGAAGGTGAAATATTAGTCTTGCTGGTTCATTTCAGTGTAGCTTTTAATAGGCAATATTTTTGTCTTTTCTTCTAAAACTAATTAAGCAAACATTTTCAGTTGATTAGAAGGAAGACAACCCACGTTAGCTGCAGAACTCAGAATCTTCCAGGAAACTCTTTTGTGGGAGAGGAAGGAGCACCTACCATCCTCCACCATCCTAGGCACAGAGCTCTTCCTCAACTCTATGGTGTGAGCTCTTCCTCACACTGTAAAAAAGCTGGCTGGCTCAACTTATATTTATTTTTCACTTTCTATTTGACTCCCTGACCATTGTTCTATTTGTTTGTATAAATTTCTATGGCAGTGTCTTATCCATTGTGTTTCTTTGATGTTTACAGAATTTATCTCTAGAAGGTGAACGTTAGTGGATTTAAGTATTGGTGACAACTGCTTGAGAGATCTCCCTATTATCACTCACGACGTGTCTGAGGAGCTGAGTGCTCCCTGCGACTCTCCAATGGCCGTACGATCCAGTGTGTGAATGGTACAGTAGCCATACGGAAAGTGTGTAGTTCACAGCAAGGAGAGCGCATGGCTTTGAGGTGATGCAATATATGTGGCTTCTCAGGGTAGAACAGCCAATCTGTGGTTTAAAAATGGAGGCCCTGAAAGAGCTTGCTGCTCTCCTGGTAAGCTTGCAGTTTCCAGCAGAGCAGTGCATGGCAGTTTCTGAAGGGCCCTTTATTTATAGCAGACATTTGACTAAATGGCTCTCTAGAGTTTACCTTGCCACATGGATTCTCAGTGAAAGTGGAACTGTGGTGTTTGTGGAAATTTTATTACCAGATGTTGCAATTTCTGTTAAACACAGATTTCAGCATATTTAGGAAAACATCTTTAGAGCATGATTAGGATCACATCACTGGCTAAAATTAAGTTATGGAAATTTGTATTTCAGTGCAGAAAACAAATATGTACATACCTAAAGTAAGGTATAAGCCAAGGTTTTGGCATATTGGTGCATGTATTGTTTGAACTCACTGTGAAGTATTCTTTGGATCTGTGGTAGGTTACTATTACTCACCCTGTCTTGTTCTTCTGTTCTTCCTGGTCACATGAAAGATTTGCCAGTCTCCCGGAGTTAGGCAGGGTCACATGACAGTTCTGACCCAGAGACCCCTAGTAAAAGGGGTAGAGAGATGTGCAAGGCATTTGAAAGACTCATGAATTCTTCATACTCCCTTTTCTTCTCACGTAGTGACCCTGCATTTCACAAACTGAGATGGCAACATCTGAAGATCTTTAGGTTCATGGGTGTGTGGAATAGAACTCTGCTGACCTGTACTGGGCAGGTAATATAAGCGAGAAATAGACTTCATTCAACTACTAAGGTTAGGGGTTTCTCAATGTAGCGTGGTATGGCTTATTTTGAGAAATACTAGCTCAATTTCCTCCTTGTTAAAAATGACAGCTGAAGAAAAAGCAGTGCTGGGCCATGTTAACACATCAAAGTTTAGGAAAAACATAATATGACCATTATAAAGAAACTATATCAGAGG